CATTTTTATAAAGAAACATCACGTACTGTAACTATACGCTCACACAGCTCAACATGCTGTGGGCTGACCTATCAAAGCACTAGACAATAAGGGACTCTCCCATCCCATCTTGTGAGGTAATAGTGACTGTGCATGCAGAGAGGAGGAGAGGAGATGGCAGGTTATTCAGTGGAGGTCACATGGGGACTGACATCTGCTTTGAAAACAGAGTGGGCTTGTCCACAACTGTGGCTCATTAGCTATCATGCTGTCACTATAAACCGAGGGGGACATGAAGAAAACCCATGACAGCTGCAATTTAGTCCGCCACTGAATTCTGCTGATCAACCAAAACTGTGAGGAACGACAACAAATTAGTTTGTGAAGATGATGTGGTAAACTTTTTAAGTTTGGGACTGAAGAGAGTGAAATTAAATCTTGCTTTTTGGAGAGATTTTTTATATTTTGTATGAACTGACCATTTAGGCTATAGTAAACTCTAGATCTAAATATTTCCTGATCAAAAACAATGACATGGATGTAATTATTTTATCAGTGTATAGTAACATAAAAAAATGCGAGGAAAAGTGTTCCACTTGGCTGTCTGTGACGGTCAAACTGTTCTGTCTTGTCAGACTGCTGATGCCATTTCCTGTCGGTCAGAGAAATCAGAGTAGGAATCAAATATCTTTGGAGAAATGAATGAATAGGCCAAATGAGATCACGTCAGAAGATCCTTGTGTTAGTGCCATTTGTTCACATACTCACGCTTAATATTCCATCTGGAACTGGGGACAAAAACACATATCTGTGGCATGAAAAGAGGCTAAATCACACCCTTTCAGAGCTGAGATTCCTCCGTATTGATTTTGTTCCTAAGATTAGATGTTTTTTTGGTAAGAAAAAAAAAAGAGTCATGCAGGATGAAATCAGGATAAAGATGTTTGATATGTTTTAATTGTAATAAGGCTCATTTAGTGTAAGTAAGATCTCATCAGATGGCCGCATTAAATTTTTTACGAGAAATAAGATAAACACTCACTACTAAATAATGTCTTACAGATGTTTTAGGAGTACTCTCTCTGTACCAGATGCCATTTTCTTTATATTCTACCCTAACAATGTTGTCTACTATGTTGTCTACACCATCTATGGGCTCCTGAGTAGTGAGATCTTTGTTGAAAGGTCCCCAATCATCTGAAAATCGAATGTATCTAATTTTTGTTCTCTGATTTATACGTGACACTACCCCATCCTTTCTCCCACTATAGAGTCAATTAGTCATTGTCATTTGAGCCCTTGCTAATAGTCTATAGGTAGAAATGGGCTTCTGTGGGCTTAATGAATCCTTTTCACTGAGACTTTGTGAGAGCTTGGGACTATATGCTTCTATGTGCAAAAATACGATTCTGAGATAATTGGCTTTAAAGTTCCGAACCCTCATTGGTTTGAATGGTGTCATCAATTTTTTTATTGTATTCTTTTGACCTTAACAACATGAAATGGGGTATTTAGAGTACTACCGTATATAAACTCAGCAAAAATAGAAATGTCCCTTTTTCAGGACCCTGTCTTTCCAAGATAATTCATAAAAGATGGTAGGCAATTAAGGTCACAGTTATGAAAACGTAGGACACTAAAGAGGCATTTCTACTGACTCTGAAAACACCAAAAGAAAGATGCCCAGAGTCCCTGCTCATCTGCGTGAACGTGCCTTCAAGTAGGCATGAGGACTGCAGATGTGGCCTGGGCAATAAATTGCAATGTCCATACTGTGAGATGCCTAAGACAGCGCTACAGGGAGAGGACGGACAGCTGATCCTCCTCGCAGTGGCAGACCACGTGTAACAACACCTGCACAGGATCGGTACATCCGAACATCACACCTTCGGGACAGGTACAGGATGGCAACATGAACTGCCCGAGTTACACCAGGAACGCACAATCCCTCCATCAGTGCTCAGACTGTCCGCAATAGGCTGAGAGAGGCTAGATTGAGGGCTTGTAGGCCTGTTGTAAGGCAGGTCCTCGGAAGACATCACCGGCAACAACGTCGCCTATGGGCACAAACCCACCGTCGCTGGACCAGACAGGACTGGCAAAAAGTGCTCTTCACTGACGAGTCACGGTTTTGTCTCACCAGGGGTGATGGTCGGATTTGCGTTTATCGTCGAAGGAATGAGCGTTACACTGAGGCCTGTACTCTGGAGCGGGATCGATTTGGAGGTGGAGGGTCTGTCATGGTCTGGAGCGGTGTGTCACAGCATCATTGGACTGAGCTTGTTGTCATTGCAGGCAATCTCAACGCTGTGTGTTACAGGGAAGACATCCTCCTCACATGTGGTACCCTTCCTGCAGGCTCATCCTGACATGACCCTCCAGCATGACAATGCCACCAGCCATACTGCTCGTTCTGTGACTGATTTCCTGCAAGACAGGAATGTCAGTGTTCTACCATGGCCAGCGAAGAGCCCAGATCTCAATCCCATTGAGCATGTCTGGGACCTGTTGGATCGGAGGGTGAGGGCCAGGGCCATTCCCCCCAGAAATGTCTGGGAACTTGCAGGTGCCTTGGTGGAAGAGTGGGGTAACATCTTACAGCAAGAACTGGCAAATCTGGTGCAGTCCATGAGGAGGAGATACACTGCAGTACTTAATGCAGCTGGTGGCCACACCAGATACTGACTGTAACTTTTGATTTTGACCCCCCCTTTGTTTAGGGACACATTATTCAATTTCTGTTAGTCACATGTCTGTGGAACTTGTTCAGTTTATGTCTCCGTTGTTGAATCTTGTTAAGTTCATACAAATATTTACGCATGTTAAGTTTGCTGAAAATAAACGCAGTTGACAGTGAGAGGACATTTCTTTTTTTGCTGAGTTTAGGTAGAGAACATTGAACAGAAGGCTATGTCAATAACTCAATTTCGACAAAAATGCAGATAGAACCTTATAGTCCTAAGCTCTCGTAATAGTACTGAGTGTGTGTGGTGATATCAATACAAGTACAACTAATTACAGAGGAGAGCCTCTCTTTTATGTAAATGTTTCTACACAACTTTGGACTATTTCTGTCTTTCTTTGGATGGAAGTTTGGACATTATGCATGCCTTTTGTTTCTTTGTGTACCTAATAAGATGTATCTAAATAAGATGAGTCACAGTATGATTTGCCCTAATATGACTTGACAATGTAAATCTTACAGTTAAAAATAGCTATAATTGCTGACACAAACTATGCTGCACCCCAACAAAAGTGTCTGTATGTGATGGCAAAAAAAATAAAAGAAGACAGTTAAAAGGATGCTGAAGCATAATTTAAATAGTATTTTCTTAAAACAGACATTCTACTTCCTACTTTCAAGATGTTTTGTACTGTGTGAATCATGGATCATCTCATCCAGCCTTTGCAAGTCAAAATGCACAAAATGATGTGTTGGCATTGAGTATGTGTGTCAGTGACACAAAATATATAAAAAGACTAGCTACATGTTGAGAAACAACTGTCAAATATGGGGATCCAATCAGGGCTTACATAAAACACATCAATGTGTTTCTAAATAAAGAACTGGCACAACAGATGTGTGATTGTGTCATAATATGATAAATATGCTAATTTACATTCACCACAAGGGAATGGGATATCATCAAAATGATAGTGAAATGTTGATTTATTTTCTAATCAAGGTTTCTGCATTGTCTGTTTTGAGTTTTTCTGGTATAGAAATGTCATGAAAATAAACGATATGCTTACTGCACAACTGGTATGATTCCACATATAGCCTATTCATGATTATTTAACTCACCTGCGTCACCTTGTTAAAGTTTGGGAAGAATTATCTGTCAAGAAGCAATACCCAGCAACTGACACATGCTGTAGTCATTGCTAAGAAGAGAGTAGGCCTATGCGAAAGCCAATGTCTGTGATACATCATTGTACCAGTAGATGGAAGCAAGTGCACATTACATTTTCTTGGATTTGGCATAAAGCAAAATCCTACAATATCCAGATGTCCATTAATGATTAAAATATACAAACAATGTAAAAAAGCATTTAAAGAAATATTTTGATTTACCAAAAACTATTCGTCACATTACCAACAAAATGTAATGTATAATTCATTAGCACTTGTTTCATATTAGACAACTCATTCCAAATGACATCTCTTATTAGCCTATGTTATAAAGTGACCAATATACTGGTAGGCGCATAAAAACAAGCTTTGCCAAATTATTCATGCACATCTGGGTAAATCGTGTGCCAAATCTAGTTACCTGTAGGCCTACTACTGGTGACTGACGTCCAATTGTCTTGGCCCCTTTAAGCGCTGGAGAGGAAGAGTCTATTGCGCTTAAGATGTTAGGTTTTTATGCTGACAGGACGCTGGCTTCAAAGGGACATGGGCAGTTCATGGAAAATACTTAATACATTGCGGTTTGATTTGCAGACTCGTTTTCCATCTTGTCCATTCTGCTCTTTTCACATCTCACATACGACAGGCTACGTCTTCTACTACGTCGAAGAGCCCAAGGTCAGTGAAACTGGCATGCCTCGCTAACAGAAGAAAGAAACATCTATTTCGGTATATCACTATAAAACTCTCTCAGAGGTGACCATGCTGAAGGAATCGCACATAAAATGTGTGTAATTTACTAACAGCAAAGCTTTTGGCAAGACTATATTGCCTGGAATGCACTCGGCTGTGAGTGTGCGCACTCACTCAACAGGTTGTCCTTCATTCTCACCATCTGAGACAAGGTCGACTGACAGAGCGATGCGCTCCAAAGTGAATGGGACCAAAGGAACGTGGTGTGATGCGGTTCATGTAATGATTCTCCTTGAACACCTGCTGTGATGACGCCACGAGGCATAACCCACCCACTTGAAGTACAGGACCACTGACAGGAGGGGAAGTCTATATAGCCTAATCCCTGTCACTTGTTTCAAGGGTATCACAAACTGGATCCTTGCATCAAGGTCTAACCATTTGAAAGGGATTATAGGAGCACAAGTCAATAGTCATGTCTCATGGCTGGGGATATGGACCATCTGACGGTGAGGCATTCAGTATCATCTGATGCTGACTCCACTTTTGGAACTACTAGTTGAAACTGTAAATTGCAACAGTTGCATGATTTTGTTGCATGGAAGAGTATCTCAATACATTTCTTATCGTAAATAAATAACTGCTGTAAATAAGTGTTAATATTTTCTGGTGTGTTACTGTTAATAAATGCATAATTAGCCCTACATTGTTAGGTTATTATCATACATTTATGAATGTATCTGTGAGAACACATAATTGGACTGTTTAGAATAGAGTGAATGATACATTTGTATGTTTCCTCTGTTTGACTTTGTCCTCTGTTTTTTCTACCATAGGACCTGACAAGTGGTTTAAGGGCTTCCCCATTGCTAATGGACCCAGGCAGTCTCCTATTAATATTATTACTGGCCAAGCATCCTACGATTCTGCTCTGAAGCCCCTCAATCTGAAGTATGACCCATCCAACTCCACAGACATTCTGAACAATGGCCATTCCTTCCAAGTTGGCTTTTTGGATGATACTGACAGTTCAAGTAAGCCTTAGAATTAATATAATAATCATATACATTACATTATTATCTCAATGTCTCACTTCACAAAATATGACCTTCATTTTTTATACAAGTTAAATTCTGATGGGTTCTGAGGGGGGGATTCAGTAAGGTGAAAAGTGGAATAGTAAAGGGAAGTGGCAACAAGAGAATGAGGGTTGCTGCAAACTGGTTACATATTAACTTATAGTGGCTGTGCGACAAACAAATATCAAACACAGTGGTGAATTAATTTCCTGGATGCAATGTCTTTGTCCATTGTGCAAATAGGCTGCTGTGCAGTAGATAATATTGACAGGTGACTTGAGAGCAGGCAGGTGTTCATTATCTATAAAGGTTTGAAAAGACGTCAGTTGTCGGGTTGTTGTCTATTGTTGTAGTGCCGGGAAGCAAGCACACCTGTCTGCAGACTAGATTATTCAAAATGAATGTTTCCTACCCTACCTTATCGTTACTTTATGGTAGTGTATTTTACGATCATGATAATCATTTATGAAGTAAGCATATTGCGGTAATGCTTCCCAACGTGTTCCTTTTCCTTTTGAGTTGTTAGGGACCATATCAGCAGGCGAATGTCCCTGCACTTACAATGCCTTAAAGCAATACAAATGCAACCGCCTGTAACTGTAGGAGATGACTAGTAATCATCTGTCATTTGTCTGCATTTGGACACAAAATTTGAAGAGCAACATAAAAAATGTGTGTGTGTGTGTGTGTGTGTGTCTGTGTGTGTGCGTGCATGCGTTCCTGCTCACAGCAATGACCGGAGGCCCCATCACCGGCACATACAGGCTGAAGCAGTTCCACTTCCACTGGGGAGCCAGTGATTACAGGGGCTCTGAGCACACCGTCAATAGAATCAAGTTCCCATGTGAGGTAGGCTGTTCTATACCTATATTTTACAACAGGACAAGCTGTATGGCTTCAGATCAGTATTTTGATTGGCTACCTGAGCTAAACCTGACATATCTTCTTTCTGTTTTTAAAGCTCCATCTTGTGCACTGGAACACCAAGTATCCCAGCTTTGGTGAAGCTGTTAGCCAACCTGATGGTCTTGCTGTAGTTGGAGTGTTTCTGAAGGTACAGATCTAATACGATTTATATGTTTGAATTAGTTAATATGCTTTTTATGTTTCCTTCTAATTTAATTTAAGTAGCCTAATTCCCTTGTTTGACTGTGTGAATTCTTGTTTCCTATAGATTGGTGCTGCAAACCCCAGACTACAAAAGGTTCTGGATGCTCTGGAGGCCATCAAATCAAAGGTGAAATCAAAATGGACTGCTACTCAAATTTAGCTGTAGTGGGAATTGGATGGGAATGTTGAAGTAAGACTTTGTTTAAACATTATGTATACATCACAATGTTTGTCTTCTATAGGGGAAGCAAACTACATTTTCCAACTTTGACGCCCAAACTCTGCTGCCTGACTCACTGGACTACTGGACATACAATGGCTCCCTGACCACTCCCCCTCTGCTGGAGAGTGTCACCTGGATCATCCTGAAGGAATCAATCAGTGTCAGCCGTACCCAGGTACAGTAATTTTACACAGCACCTTCATTGTCAGAGAAGTTTTAGCCATTCACTTAAAACAGGGAGGGTCAAGACTTGCCCGCTATCACTTTAGATTACATTACCTGAGTGGCCCATAGTGCTTATTTAGTAACATATTTGAGTAGCCCACCATCTATGAAAGTAGCCTACACCCATATTAATATGCCAAGCATGTAATGCTTAATGTAGTAAAGGTATGTTATTTCCTTATATCATGGCCTAAATAAGTCATTGTTGCTCCATGTGGTCTTAGAACTTCCAAAGTATGTCTGTAAATAATTTACAAAGACAATCTGTCTTCCTACCATGAAATAACAAACATATTATCTGCTACAGTACACAGATACTGTAAGCTACTGTACACAGCAGACACCTCCCCAATTATTAGACATTAAACAGTGGACTGTTTCTTTTATACTGTTTTTCACATTGTGTATTCATATACTGTATTCTTCACATAGTTCATTCTAATATACTTACTACTGTACATTGCATTTTGTTACACTGTTTATTTATACACTGTATTCTCGGCATAGCTCATTATAATATACAGTATCTACTGCTGTACTTATCATTCTTAGTATATGTTTTTGGTGTATACAAGTATATGTACAGTGGGGAGAACAAGTATTTGATACACTGCCGATTTTGCAGATTTTCCTACTTACAAAGCATGTAGAGGTCTGTCATTTTTATCATAGGTACACTTCAACTATGAGAGACGGAATCTAAAACAAAAATCCAGAAAATCACACTGTATGATTTTTACGTAATGAATTTGCATTTTATTGCATGACATAAGTATTTGATCACCTACCAACCAGTAAGAATTCTGGCTCTCACAGACCTGTTAGTTTTTCTTTAAGAAGCCCTCCTGTTCTCCACTCATTACCTGTATTAACTGCACCTGTTTGAACTCGTTACCTGTATAAAAGACACCTGTCCACACACTCAATCAAACAGACTCCAACCTCTCCACAATGGCCAAGACCAGAGAGCTGTGTAAGGACATCAGGGATACAATTGTAGACCTGCACAAGGCTGGGATGGGCTACAGGACAATAGGCAAGCAGCTTGGTGAGAAGGCAACAACTGTTGGCGCAATTATTAGAAAATGGAAGAAGTTCAAGATGACGGTCAATCACCCTCGGTCTGGGGGTCCATGCAAGATCTCACCTCGTGGGGCATCAATGATCATGTGGAAGGTGAGGGATCAGCCCAGAACTACACGGCAGGACCTGGTCAATGACATGAAGAGAGCTGGGACCACAGTCTCAAAGAAAACCAGTAGTAACACACTACGCCGTCATGGATTAAAATCCTGCAGCCCACGCAAGGTCCGCCTGCTCAAGCCAGCGCATGTCCAGGCCCGTCTGAAGTTTGCCAATGACCATCTGGATGATCCAGAGGAGGAATGGGAAAAGGTCATGTGGTCTGATGAGACAAAAATTGAGCTTTTTGGTCTAAACTCCACTCGCCGTGTTTGGAGGAAGAAGAAGGATGAGTACAACCCCAAGAACACCATCCCAACCGTGAAGCATGGAGGTGGAAACATCATTCTTTGGGGATGCTTTTCTGCAAAGGGGACAGGACGACTGCACCGTATTGAGGGGAGGATGGATGGTGCCATGTATTGCGAGATCTTGGCCAACAACCTTCTTCCCTCAGTATGAGTATTGAAGATGGGTCGTGGCTGGGTCTTCCAGCATGACAACAACCCGAAACACACAGCCAGGGCAACTAAGGAGTGGCTCCGTAAGAAGCATCTCAAGGTCCTGGAGTGGCCTAGCCAGTCTCCAGACCTGAACCCAATAGAAAATCTTTGGAGGGAGCTGAAAGTCCGTATTGCCCAGCGACAGCCCCGAAACCTGAAGGATCTGGAGAAGGTCTGTATGGAGGAGTGGGCCAAAATCCCTGCTGCAGTGTGTGCAAACCTGGTCAAGACCTACAGGAAACATATGATCTCTGTAATTGCAAACAAAGGTTTCTGTACCAAATATTAAGTTCTGCTTTTCTGATGTATCAAATACTTACAGTGGGGAAAAAAAGTATTTAGTCAGCCACCAATTGTGCAAGTTCTCCCACTTAAAAAGATGAGAGAGGCCTGTAATTTTCATCATAGGTACACGTCAACTATGACAGACAAATTGAGATTTTTTTTCTCCAGAAAATCACATTGTAGGATTTTTTATGAATGTATTTGCAAATTATGGTGGAAAATAAGTATTTGGTCACCTACAAACAAGCAATATTTCTGGCTCTCACAGACCTGTAACTTCTTCTTTAAGAGGCTCCTCTGTCCTCCACTCGTTACCTGTATTAATGGCACCTGTTTGAACTTGTTATCAGTGTAAAAGACACCTGTCCACAACCTCAAACAGTCACACTCCAAACTCCACTATGGCCAAGACCAAAGAGCTGTCAAAGGACACCAGAAACAAAATTGTAGACCTGCACCAGGCTGGGAAGATTAAATCTGCAATAGGTAAGCAGCTTGGTTTGAAGAAATCAACTGTGGGAGCAATTATTAGGAAATGGAAGACATACAAGACCACTGATAATCTCCCTCGATCTGGGGCTCCACGCAAGATCTCACCCCGTGGGGTCAAAATGATCACAAGAACGGTGAGCAAAAATCCCAGAACCACACGGGGGGACCTAGTGAATGACCTGCAGAGAGCTGGGACCAAAGTAACAAAGCCTACCATCAGTAACACACCAGGGACTCAAATCCTGCAGTGCCAGACGTGTCCCCCTGCTTAAGTCAGTACATGTCCAGGCCCGTCTGAAGTTTGCTAGAGTGCATTTGGATGATCCAGAAGAGGATTGGGAGAATGTCATATGGTCAGATGAAACCAAAATATAACTTTTTGGTAAAAACTCAACTCGTCGTGTTTGGAGGACAAAGAATGCTGAGTTGTATCCAAAGAACACCATACCTACTGTGAAGCATGGGGGTGGAAACATCATGCTTTGGGGCTGTTTTTCTGCAAAGGGACCAGGACGACTGATCCGTGTAAAGGAAAGAATTAATGGGGCCATGTATCGTGAGATTTTGAGTGAAAACCTCCTTCCATCAGCAAGGGCATTGAAGATGAAACGTGGCTGGGTCTTTCAGCATGATAATGATCCCAAACACACCGACCGGGCAACGAAGGAGTGGCTTCGTAAGAAGCATTTCAAGGTCCTGGAGTGGCCTAGCCAGTCTCCAGATCTCAACCCCATAGAAAATCTTTGGAGGAAGTTGAAAGTCCGTGTTGCCCTGCGACAGCCCCAAAACATCACTGCTCTAGAGGAGATCTGCATGGAGGAATGGGCCAAAATACCAGCAACAGTGTGTGAAAACCTTGTGAAGACTTACATAAAAAGTTTGACCTGTGTCATTGCCAACAAAGGGTATATAACAAAGTATTGAGAAACTTTTGTTATTGACCAAATACTTATTTTCCACCATAGTTTGCAAATAAATTCATAAAAAATCCTACAATGTGATTTTCTGGATTTTTTTTTCTCATTTTGTCTGTCATAGTTGACGTGTACCTATGATGAAAATTACAGGCCTCTCTCATCTTTTTAAGTGGGAGAACTTGCACAATTGGTGGCTGACTAAATACTTTTTTTCCCCACTGTAAGTATTTGATACATCAGAAAAGCAGAACTTAATATTTGGTACAGAAACCTTTGTTTGCAATTACAGAGATCATATGTTTCCTGTAGGTCTTGACCAGGTTTGCACACACTGCAGCAGGGATTTTGGCCCACTCCTCCATACAGACCTTCTCCAGATCCTTCAGGTTTCGGGGCTGTCGCTGGGCAATACGGACTTTCAGCTCCCTCCAAAGATTTTCTATTGGGTTCAGGTCTGGAGACTGGCTAGGCCACTCCAGGACCTTGAGATGCTTCTTACGGAGCCACTCCTTAGTTGCCCTGGCTGTGTGTTTCAGGTCGTTGTCATGCTGGAAGACCCAGCCACGACCCATCTTCAATGCTCTTACTGAGGGAAGGAGGATGTTGGCCAAGATCTCGCAATACATGGCCCCATCCATCCTCCCCTCAATACGGTGCAGTCGTCCTGTCCCCTTTGCAGAAAAGCATCCCCAAAGAATGATGTTTCCACCTCCATGCTTCACGGTTGGGATGGTGTTCTTGGGGTTGTACTCATCCTTCTTCTTCCTCCAACCACGGCGAGTGGAGTTTAGACCAAAAAGCTCTATTTTTGTCTCATCAGACCACATGACCTTCTCCTATTCCTCCTCTGGATCATCCAGATGGTCATTGGCAAACTTCAGACGGGCCTGGACATGCGCTGGCTTGAGCAGGGGGACCTTGCGTGCGCTGCAGGATTTTAATCCATGACGGCGTAGTGTGTTACTAATGTTTTTTTTTGAGACTGTGGTCCCAGCTCTCTTCAGGTCATTTACCAGGTCCTGCCGTGTAGTTCTGGGCTGATCCCCCTTCCTCATGATCATTGATGCCCCAGGAGGTGAGATCTTGCATGGAGCCCCAGACCGAGGGTGATTGACCGTCATCTTGAACTTCTTCCATTTTCTAATAATTGCGCCAACAGTTGTTGCCTTCTCACCAAGCTGCTTGCCTATTATCCTGTAGCCAATCCCAGCCTTGTGCAGGTCAACAATTTTATCCCTGATGTCCTTACACAGCTCTCTGGTCTTGGCCATTGTGGAGAGGTTGGAGTCTGTTTGATTGAGTCTGTGGACAGGTGTCTTTTATACAGGTAACGAGTTCAAACAGGTGCAGTTAATACAGGTAATGAGTGGAGAACAGGAGGGCTTCTTAAAGAAAAACTAACAGGTCTGTGAGAGCCGGAATTCTTACTGGTTGGTAGGTGGTCAAATACTTATGTGTACCTATGATAAAAATTACAGACCTCTACATGCTTTGTAAGTAGGAAAACCTGCAAAATCGGCAGTGTATCAAATACTTGTTCTCCCCACTGTATGTGCATAGATTGCATTTGGATTACTGATAGTGTTATTTGGGTTGTTAACTGAATTCATTCTGATTTCTTTGTGATTTCTTATTTCAAGTTTTTGATTATTATTTGTGTACATGTTTGACATTTTTGCTGCACTGTTAGAAGCTAGTAACACAAGCATTTCACTGCACCCGCTATAACATCTGCTAAACTGTGTACGCCACCAATAAAGTTTGATTTGATTTATTATTGAAGCTCCATGCTGAGCCTTTGGGATATCAAATCCCGAAGTCCAATTTCACCAGCTAGCGTTTAAATGGGTCCCCAGGGAGACTTGTTTACTGAAAGCTCAAAAAGCTGCAGTCAAAAGCACTGTCTCACATATGTCATCATGAAGATAGTGTCAATTTAGGGAGGGCTACATTCAGCCATATGCATTGCTGAGATAAAGTTAAGCTGTAGTGCAAGGCAGCAATAACTTGGGTGGAGAGAGTTTTACAGTTCTGACAGAGTACTGATGCAATGTTGTGTTGGAAAAAGCCTTTCACCTACATACAGTAGGACGGTCTAGGACCCATGCCAAAAGAGTGTGAGAATACAGTATAAATGAAATGAATGCACTTTCAGAAGTGTTTGGTGATTTCAGATGTCACTGTAAATGAGAGCAAGTTGAACCGTGTGTCAATTGATACTGTCTACACCTACATTTTGAACTTTTACTAGGAAATGAGACTGTACAGACTCTGCAGCCGGTCATGGTCATGGTATGCATAGTAATAGCAATTTAGTGAAGACATTTTCATGCTTATAGTAACACAAATGTACACTCTCTATGCTTACTTGCTTATGGCTGTCCATTGATGTCGATGATTACTTTGATTCCAATTGTGGGCATTGTGGGATTTGCGCTAATACCATTGCATATGGCTGTGCAGGCCAATGCGAGACCCACATGGTTTGCCACATGAGGTTTAGGTTCCCCTGCTGCATGCTGGTGTCGTTGCGCACACTGTTCTATTCTCCTCTCTGTGATTGTGTCCTGTACTCTTTATACTCAATACACTCTACATTGTGATCAGTTAGACTTCCATAGGAACATTGGTACTCATTTGGTATTGTTTCAGGGATTATATGATCTAAATATAGGAAATCGTTTTTGGAGAGCAGTAAGCCACAGCCACCACTTTAGCATGAGCCAAAGGCCGCAGTGTTGACATTCTGATTCTAACCATTGTATCTCTCTCTCTCTCTCTCTCTCTCTCTCTCTCTCTCTCTCTCTCGACAGATGGGTCAATTCCGCAGCTTGAAGTTCAGTGGGGACGGAGAGGAACATTACTGCATGCAGGACAACTACAGACCCCCTCAGCCTCTCAAGGGACGCAAGGTCCGCCGGTCCTTCAAGTAAACAGCCCCCATCCCTCTCCCCCAGATTATATATACATCGTGTGCCATTTTAGCCTATGCATTGCTGTCAGAATCTGCTAATTGTTAACACCATTGATAAAACGATCAGTAAATACTAGAAAACAGAAATTTAAACCTAAACCAATGCAATTTAATAACAAGAGCCAGTGCAGATGAGATGCATGCGCTGGAATGGATGGACAGCAGCTCCTGCACTTTATGGATGACAGTCAGTCAGAGATAGAGGCATTTAATGATATAATACTACAGGGCTTTTTTTTTCTTTTTTAAAAATCTCAGTAAGCACAAACAGTGGCTTTGCAAGAGATGGAATCCTGAATTAATCCTTAAACACTTTACATTATATGCCATTTAGCAGACGCTTTTATCCAAAGCGACTTACAGTCATGCGTGCATACATTTTTGTGTATGGGTGGTCCTGGGGATCGAACCCACTACCTTGGCGTTACAAGCACCGTGCTCTACCAGCTGAGCTACAGTAAATATCTCAATATCTGTAACCGTTTATAAACTCAATGTTTGTGGAATGACACATCTGTTGGAAAGCTTTGCAATTTTTTAGGTATATTGAATGACCACACTACAGAAATGTCAGTTGCCCTTTGGCTGTGTGGGATCAACCTTACCCAGCTAGGGAAACAGAGACCCCATTGTTGATGGTCAGACATCTTCATTTTAAGTACGGACAGAAGGCCTATTTTGCAGTCATGACCTATGGGTTCTCCACCTCTGTGGTTCAGGACAAGTTAATCAATCAAGTTGTGTGGTACAAACAACAGTCACTCCAACTGAAATATGTCTTTATGTCATTAACCCATTCACTTCCTTGTACTATATTTAGTACAATATCAAAATGTGCCACAGAACAAATTATTTTTGGTGTAAATGCATGGCATTTGGTGTCAACATAGTTGGTACAAGTGTCTAGACAGGCCACATTGAAATGTTAAGATTATCATACTTCCAGTGTGAATCGAAGTTGGGATTTTGAGAAAATGTGAAAAAATCATTAAAATGACTTCAGCATATGTATGTTGAAAAGCATATAGTATTGTTCTTTGACCTGTTCTAAACCGAAATATGCCTAATATATGATTAATCTCATTGTCGTTTGTGACCTACAGCCATTTCTGTATCATACTATATTTCGTCTTTGGGGTTACTGTTTTTCTACATATTTCAAGAAATGTGAATACAATCAAATGATCAGATCTGAATAATTTTTGGTAAATAGATTGTCTGGAACAATATACACTGAGTATACAAAACATTAAGAACACCTGCTCTTTCCATGACATAGACTGACCAGGTGAATCCAGGTGAAAGCTATGATCCGTTATTGATGTCACCTGTTAAATCCACTTCAATCAGTGTAGATGAAGGGGAAGAGACAGGTTAAAGAAGGATTTTTAAGCCTTGAGACAATTGAGACATGGATTGTGTATTTGTTCCATTCAGAGGGTGAATGGGCAAGAAAAAATATTTAAGTGTCTTTGAACAAGGTATGGTAGTAGGTGCCAGGCGCACCGGTTTGAGTGTGTCAAAAACTGCAACACTGCTGGGTTTTTCAAACTCAACAGTTTCCCATGTGTATCAAGAATGGTCCACCACCCAAAGGACATCCAGCCAACTTGACACAACTGTGGCAAGCATTGGAGTCAACATGGGCCAGCATCCCTGTAGAACGCTTGACACCTTGTAGAGTCCATGCCCTGATGAATAGAGGCTGTTCTGAGGGCAAAAGGGAGTGCAACTCAATATTAGAAAGGTGTTCCTAATGTTCTGTACACTCAGTGTAGTTGTCTATTTGAATTTATTAAGGAACCCCATTAGCTGCTGCCAAGGCCATTTGCCAAGGCCCTTGTTGACTGGTCCCTGCATCATAACATCACAAATATGTGATTGGAACAGTAGCATTGTTTTCTGAAAAGCATCAAAACAATGTTTTGTACTGCTGGGAAATAAAGTTATTCACTAATGTATTAGTCAATTTCACCTTTTATTGAAAAAGATAAATGCGAACATCATCATCCAAACATCACATGGAACACATCCACAGCCAAACTCATTCCATAAACCAGTCTAAATAGCAGGTTGCGCTGACAAAAAACAAAACATGAGTCAGCGACCTAACAGCTAGACTTGTTTACAATATACCACATCTCTGGTGAGCATTTACATTTTACAGACGCTCTTATACAGAGCAACTTACAGTTTAGTGAGTGCGTACATTTTCATACTGGCCCCCCGTGGGAATCGAACCCACAACCCTGGCGTTGCAAGCGCCATTCTCTACCAACTGAGCTACATGGGGCACAAGGGAGACATGTAATATTGTTTAGAAAATAGATGGATGTCAGCTAAGCTAACAGCAGCTAAATTCTTTATGATGGCAGTCATGTTTGTTTATGTTTGACAAGCAAAAACTCCCTAATCCCAGAATGCCATTCACTATAAGAAGCAAATGCACATGGTTGCGCCCATTGCCTGAAAATTTGAACTTAGTTTGGCCACTTTTCAGCATATTACAAATCTTTGATGTACTTGTTACAGTGTATACAAGAACCGGAGCACATTACTTGACAAGTCATTTACATTTTTTGACAAATCATTAAGCAAATAAAATGTTATCACCTCACAGATCATCACCCCAAATACAAGCCTACTGCCTAGCCTAACCGTAGCGCGAAAGCTAAACAGGGATGAAACCATTTTAGGGGGGTTTGTGGGGAGGGTATCTCCATGGGAGATAGAAATCGGGGAAGGTATCGTGGGGGGATGTGATGCAGGAAATATTACTATGATGGGGGATTGATCGATGAATGTGGGGCAAACACAGAAGAAGATTATACACTAAATAAAAATAAAATCCCTGGAAAGGGGGTCTGAACTGGCAACCCTGAGGTACCATAGTTACAATCTGATGCCACGTTCAAAACAACTGTGAACTGGGATCTCGGAAATCTCCAACTTCCACTTCAGTGCGTTCAAGACAACTTGGAACTCTGAAAAAAACTAGCTCCGATTGGGGAAAATCGTTTTGAATGGTCATCCAACTCGGAATTCCAGCACAGGAACTCAGGCCTCTTTCTAGAGCTCCGACCTTCCGACCTGAAGATCACTGATGATTTGACCTCGTATTTTACAGAGTTCCCAGTTGTCTAGAAAGCACCATAAGTCAGTCTTTGGTATGACAGACACTTACGTGACAACCAGAATGCATTGTATGATGTCAACAAACATGGCGCCACACATAGCTGGAAAATAGCTTAGCATTTGCTCATCATAATCAGTCAACCTTCAAAAAAGTATTTAACACACATCATACAGTGCCTGGCAAAAGTATTACAACCTGTAATTTAAATGGATTTTTATTTGGATTTCATGTAATGGACATACACAAAATAGTCCAAATTGGTGAACTTCCGACTTCAACTGTACATGTTTGTACATGTCTAAAGTTTGAATGATGTTTCTAGCTTAAACAGTGTAAGAGGAGTGGGGTGCTAAAGAATAATAACTACAGTATGACTAGATGGTGATTTTCCATGAAACAGTTACAAGCCCAGACGAGCTAGCTAAACGTTCTGTCAGCATCGGGCAGTGATCAGCTTGGTGTTTGCATAGTATTGACGTCACCAGCCCAAATTCTAATCGAGCTGGCACCAGTTGTGAAACTGGGCTGCGCTGGCTCGGGTTTCCCTTGACCCAGCTCGAATTTGAGAATGCTATTAGAGCCAGCTCGAATTTGAGAATGCCATTTGAGCCAGCTCGAATTTGGCCCTAATTTGGGCATAATTTGAAGTGCCAGTGTAAATTATCTAAAGTTTTTGTCTAACTTGTTGGGAAAGTGATCAAAATGACAGTTGTTTCATAAAGTTAGGAAGAAAAGCAGTTATCTGGTTACTAAAACAGCTGCACCGTTTGATTGGTAGAATATATTCCTGTTCTGATTTCAGATTTGAAAAAGCACAGAAGTAGAGGAAGATTTAATATGCTCTAAATTGGTGCAGGTAGGTTGTATAGACAAAACAAATGTTGCTATTTGCATTTTGCAATTCATTAAATGTTTTAATCTGCTGTCTCTTTCCTTGGCTGAAATATGAAAATATGAAATATTTTCCCACAGATCCTTCTCAGTACATGAAAGGTACAGTTCTGTCAGGACATGACAATTTCACAGAACACCATGGAAGTCGCATGAGCAGTTTCACAGCTCAAGGCAAGAACACACCCTAGGATAGGTGTGGAGATTGCATGACCAGTTTCACAGCTCCAGGCAATAACACATCAAACACACCCGAGTGGCGCAGTTGTCTAAGGCACTGCATCGCAGTGCTAGCTGTGCCACTAGAGATCCTGGTTCGAATCCAGGCTCTGTCGTAGCCGGCCGCGACCGGGAGACCCATGGGGCGGCGCGCAATTGGCCCAGCGTCGTCCAGGGTAGGGGAGGGAATGGCCGGCAGGGATGTAGCTCAGTTGATAGAGCATGGCGTTTGCAACGCCAGGGTTGTGGGTTTGAATCCCACAGGGGGTATGAAAATAAATAAAATAAAGTATAATAATAATGTGACTAAACTGTAAGTCGCTCTGGATAAGAGCGTCTGCTAAATGAATTAAATGTTAAATGAAAATGTAATAGGCCAGGTATGGAGGTCGCTCACAGCTCCAGGCAAGAACACACCCCTAGGCCAGGTATGGAGATTGCATTGACAGTTTTACACTGTTTACTTCAGATGCATCTTACTGGATTTCATCAAGTAAAACTTTGTGATAATGCAGCAAGAACACTACTGTAATCTGTCAAAAATGTTTGTATTACTGTGCAGCTAGTAGTAGGAACCAATATAGGGAGAGACCCTCTCTGCCTGTGTATGTCTGTGAGAGAGAGAGAAAATTAGACATATAATGTGTGTATATGTGACAGAATGAATGTGTGTGTGAGAAACAGAGTAGGAGACATACCAGGCAGTGATGCAA